TTCTGTCAGCTTTCAGGTCAATTACTGCAAAGACTGCGTGCTGCCGAATTGTTTCATTCAAGGTTAAAGATTGCCCAGAATGCCATTTGCTGTCGGAATGCCACCCACGAGCTTGGAGCCAGGGGTGACATACCACATGGTTACTCGTTGAGGCTGGCTGTCTGCAGGGTAGAGAAATCACCTTGGGTGGAGTCATAGCCAGCATTTCTGTGAAGTTCAGCGGTCCCAGCTGGGGGCTGTCAGAGCAGCCCACGCAGGCCATTGTACTGTGGCTATGAGAGGAGTCCAGCCCACCCCTCGGCGTGACTTGTCATCCACTCGGCCCCTTTCCCACTCGAAAGAATTGAGATTAAAGTCTTCATACTCGGTTACATTCCCATAAAGGCCACAAGCAGTCTATGCCTCTGGCTACCACTGGCAGGGGAGGAGAAAGGCTTTGAAAAAGGCTCATCCATGAGTCAGATGCAAAAGTTAGAAAAGATGAAGGAGTCAGGCTGTCCAGCTCCTTCCACCAAAGCAGTAATTTTCAAACAGTCAAATAAAGCAGAAAAAGAGAAGCAAACCTGACTAAAGCAGGGACAGGCCTTCACCCATGCAATTTCTCCGTGGGGTTCTTGGGCTCTGCAGATCACAGTTTAAAAAGCATCTTTTCAAAGACCCTTCTAGACGGTGCCCTCAAAGGTCTATCTACCCAGAAGCACCCTCAGTGTGTGCAGCTCTGAGTCCAAAGGTGGCAGCCCAGTGAGCCTGGACATGGGAATCTTAATACAGAGCCATAAAGACATGTGGCTTTTTCCTTGTTGTATTTCCAAGTCCCTGGTCTAGCATCAGGCACATAGTAGGCATGTAATATCCAGGGAACAAGACAATAAAGGAAGCTTGGTCTTCGCACTGCAGTCAGCAATAGTGACAGCTATTGACCACATAGCACATCATAGTTTACAAAGCACTTTCCCTGCTGCTGTCTCATCCCATCCTGAGAATTCACTCTCATGAAGCATGACAGTGATGATCCCCTTTTTTAATTGAAATTGAACTTCAGAGAGGTTAGGCAATAGTCTTTGGTCACACAGATGTCTAGGGCAATTGTAGGACAGCAGCCATATCTTTAGACTCCAAGTGCTGATGCTGTTTACACCACCCTCACCACTGAGATCCTTTGGTGCTCCCACCACTGCATGGTCATCAACGCTGGTGGTGACAGTGGTGTCATACTCATTAAGATCACAGAGATGTACAAGTTTATGAGATTCCAGACCCTAACCATACACACAAGCCTGTTGATTAGCTCACATAGCTGCAGATTCTATCTCTAATCTGAGAATCCTTGCTTTATGAGTACAGAGCACAGAACGCACACCAAATGTTAATGTGGAGGTCACAGGGGTGGGGGGTCTGAAAAGCATGGGCTGGAGAGTTGGGTTTGTCACCAACTCACCTCCAAATCCTGTTTCATATGCATGGAGTCTTCCATCTTGGTAAAGTACGTATGGGGCTGACACTGCAATTGCTGGATCCTGGCCCTATACCAGTCCTAAACCTGAGCCTCATAACTTGTAGGTTGCTGATCTGGTGTCTAGTGACATAGACCCCAGACCCACCAGTAAATGTTCAAGGGCTGCCACATTTTGCCTCCCCACAACCCATCCACTTACTTTTACCATCAACCTCCAGAAGCTCACCTGCCTTGAATCATTCCCCAAGCATCAGCCACATATGGAGGTGTCCATGCAAGAATAAACAGCCAAGTAAGGGGTGTTCTCTTCACTTCTCAGTTGCCCAATTTATTCTCCTTGTATAGAAATAAGTAAATGAAGTCCTTCCTATGAATAGTCAATGCTATGAATGCATTTTCACCTTCAGAAAACTGAATCCTAACAATAACGCTGTGTATTTGGCCTTCAAGGTCTTTTGTTTCTCAAATTTCTCATCTACTTACTTTTTCCATTCAGAAGTGAGGGTTAAGCAATTTGCAAGCGCCTAAGCACTCCCCATATGGGGTGCAGACCAGTGATTGAAGCCCAGCAGAGGTAGAGGGTTCTGAATCAAGCCTCCCTGGGTTGAGGATTATATGACTGTATAATAAAGCCCCCCTTACTCTCCTACCCCCATCCACTATCCCAGCATGACACTGAAGCTTGAAGGAGCAGAGTTACCCCTAACTCTGCCTTTCTGGTTTCTGTGGACCTAAAATACAGCCACCTGCCTGTCCTGCATATGTACAGAATCTGAGGTCGTGTCCTATAAAACTAGAAAATTTGCAATATTTTAAATGAATCTTTCCCTGACTCTGGGCACCATCTTTTCACTCCCTTGGATCCTGCAGAGCTTCTATCACATCCAAGCAGCAGAGAGAACATCATGGAAGGTGGCACAGGCCAGGAGGCAGAGTGGCTTATGTGGTGCCGTAGCCAGTGAGAGGCCTGAAAGACTCAGACCATCCCTTATTGAAGCTGGCAGACATGGACCTTGAGCCCAGTGCTTTGCTGGGTTCCGCGTGATGTAGAGAAGTGACTTGTGGTATCGGGCAAAAGGTTTGCACTTTGGGAAGTTCAGACACAAAGAGACAAAAAGGGACCAGGGCGCTGGGTCAATAGCAAGTCTTTGTGTGTGTCACATGATTAATACCAGAGTCTGCTCATGGTCCTGGAATATGGACATCGATCCATGGGAAATACAGCTCAGGGTTGGATGGTGGAGCTCAGGAAATAAGTAGTTAACTCTTCATAGTTGATCCATTTGACATACGACGAGTCCACTTCTTTTTCTGTATGAGTTTTTTGGATTTCCCTGAAATAAATAACTGCCTTGTTTACTTATTTCTTAGTTGTTATACTCGTTTCGCCACTTCCTCTCCAAACTCACTACTGGAACATCTCTTCTCAACATGTTCAAAAACATCTGGTAATCAATTCATTCAATATTTCTCTTCTTGGAGACTTTCCTTCCTCTTCTTTTTCCAATATAGACTGAAGCTCTCTGATCCTGCCCCATCTTCCTCATGCTTGTGGGATACATTTTCTAATAGCATCTCCAAATTTATCTGGTTACTTAGAATGACATTTCTAAATTGCCACCCTAACTAAAGTCCTTCCATTTCTACCCGTGACACAGGAAAAACTCAAAACTTTTCAACCAGGTCTCCCATCACGGCTGGAGAGAATGAGCAGGTGCACTCCCAAGTTTCTGGGACATCATCCTAAGTCAACCACTTACGTGAAATGCCTTTGAAATTTCAAAGTTTTATTTTTTAAATATATGCAAATTTTGCCGCTATTCCATAATAGACCTTTTTTGTTTTAATATAAAAATACTATTTAAAAATTATTGGCATTTAAATAATAGAATGCCAGTCTCTTCTGGAAGCATCCTCTCAGACATACCCAAATGTAAATCGCTTTCCTTTCCTTCCCTAATCTTCAAGTAAAATCAGTGCATTAGGAAAACATGTTTATGTCATTACTTGGTGTATGCATATGCATACACTGAAGAGGCCCACCCTCCTGCTAGTTGTGTCCCCAGCACCAAGCGCAGTGAAGTTCTTGATAAAGGAACTGAACTCAGTGATCTGGAAAGAAGGGTGTCACTTAGTGGGGAGCCTTCGGCATGCCAGGTAGACCGTTTAGCTCAGCCAAGTTCTAAGGCAGGAATGAGTAGTCTAGCGAGTGTGCTCTGCTATGCTCTGGGTGGCACCCCAGGCAGGGAGCCCTACCAAATGCCCTGCATCTGCTCTGCAGCCCTAAGGTCCCAGGGCAGCTGTGCCTGTCATGGAGATGTCTTCCCTCTGACACACAGCTCCCCAGAACCTACCCCTGCCCCACTCTCTCTCTTGCTCCTCACTCACCCCTCCTCACAGCTCCTGGGAGGTAAGATCTACCCACATGTCCATACCAACGCCAAAAGCTACCTTCTTGGAAGTAGGGCAGGTCTTCCACTAAGTGACAGGGACAAATGCTTCAGCTTTAAGCACTGTAACTTTAAGCACTGTACCCAAAAACAGTCCCCCACTGTTGTTGTCCTTTCCTGAAACAAAAGGCCTGGGGGTAGGGAGGTGCCACAGGAAGTCCTTAAGTGCCCACAGGGAATAGACCTAAAAGCAGCCACCTAGCTTCCAGGAATTAGTAAATAAGAGTAGAGGCCACTAAGGGGGAAAAATTTCCTCCGGAGTTAACACACTTTCAACTTACCTATTTAATAACCTAGAGCCAGGTCTAGTGATACAGAAATAAATGCTAAACACCTTCTAGGAAGAGAAGGCAACTAGTGGACAGTCCTTTAGGGTCTCCTTTCTGAGCTTTTCATATTGACCCCATTATTTATTTATTTATTTTTATTTCTACAAGCACTGGGTACAGTCAGAAGCGCGGGAGGGTGAGAGAATTCACCAGAGCCAGAGCGGGGAACAGAACCGGCAGAAGGACCGAAGTGCAGTGCTGAGGGCAGCAGCGGGCAGCAGGAGAGGTCTGTGCGCCATGTGGGACCCTCGCCCGGCGGCCGGGGATCGAACCAGCGCTGCAGAGGCTGCGGGCAGCTTCGCAACCCAGCGCTCAACCACTGCGCCACTGGGGAGGCCCTGACCCCATTATTTTAAGTACATACAAGTGGCTCTAAGGCATCTTCTCACCTTTTCCTCCTTTCCTTATCTTTCTCCTCCTCCTTTCTTTTATGAAAGCCTAAGTATTGGCGAAGGTATATGAGAAAGACTGGATGAATCACCTTGGGGTGGTGGGGAGAAATATTCTAAGTCTCTTGGGTAGAATTTCTGGAATTCAAGCTCTTGGTAGATAAGGAAATCACATTTTTAATGGAATCTTTAGACGTAATAATAATAGAGAACACAAACTACCTCGTGGAATTCTCACAACCCAGTAAAGAGGGTATAAGATTATTCCCATTCTGCAGATCAGGAACCTGAAGCCCAGAAGTCACTCAGCTGGTAAAAGCTGGATCTGAGGGTGAGCCTGACCTGTCTGGACCCAGAGTTAGGCTTGCGAAGGAGGAAAAGATCTTAGGAGCTCAGATGGATCTGTAACAAAACAGATGAATATGTAAAAGCACGCACACTTATTGAATATAAGCATGAAGTGACCTGGGAGTCTTTGTGATAAAATAAAGACACACAGAAGAAGTCACAGCTGGGCATTTTTATGCTGGGCAAACAGAGAGTAGAAAGTCATGGAAAATTTGATAGGACAAAGGGGTTACGAGAGAAGTTCAGGAAACTGGGGAAAAAGGACAGGCTTGTTCATTCCAATCCCACCCAGCATCCCTCCATCCTCAGAGAAAAGGACACTCCCTTATCTGTCCTCTGGGTATGGGGACAGGTGAGGGTGTATGACCTACTTCAGGGGATGGCCCAAGAGTCCTTCCTGCACCTGCTTTTTCTCAAAATATTTGCAGTGCCGCATTTCCCTATCTGGGGTAGTATTGTTATAGAGCAACCCCGATATTAAAACGGGTTCATGGCTGTGGGTCCTCACCCGCGCGCTTTAAAGGGACCAACACAAGAAAAATTACTTTGGGCTGGTCAACCACGGGTGAAACTTGCAAATCACGTTGGGTGCCAAGCTGTTATAGAGCAACCCCGATATTAAAACGGGTTCCTGGCTGTGGGTCCTCACCCACGCGCTTTAAAGGGACTTATGAATACTCTACTACAGACACACACAAAAGGTTAATAAAAGGTTTATTTACAAGAGAAAAGGAAATAAGGAAAATGTACAACTCAGGGAAAAAATAGGGAAATAAAGTCTTTAATGCCTCCTACCCGATCCGACGACCTGGAAACCCAAAGGCACTCTCCGAGCTGGCCGGATGCTGCGAGCTGGCGGAGAGCCAAAATGGGGGCCCCCAAAGTGTCTGCCTTTTGTATCCACCTTGCTGCTTAACCCCACCCTCAGGTCCCAGCCACCTTCCCTTTGGTGGTGATGGGATTTGGAGTTCCCAGTGTCTTTGGCTTTGACCTGGGGTGGGGGTGGAGTCCACAAAGCCTATATGGAATTAGCTTTGGGACATCCTTTTTCCCCTAACAGTATGTCCTGAACCCCATCAAGGATTTACTCATTTCGACCTCCTGAAGTAGAAATGCAGCATCTATCTCAATAGCTCCCAGACTAAATTCACATGCCAAGAAAATTTCAAAATAATTTGGGGGAGGGCAGATCAACACAGAATTGCCAACTTTATCTTTTGCCAAAGGAGCACATTAAAAATAAATCCTATTATCCCTATCATTTCATTTCTTAAATGACTTAACACCACAAAGTGGGAGGAAGATGATCTCAGGATAAAAGCAGAAATCAAAACGCAAAAAATTTAGATAGATGAAAAATGGTATTTTCGACCTTGTTTTTCCCATTTTGCTGAAGACCAGTAAAAGCTTTCAGGACCTCAGTGATCCTTTTATAGCATTTGGTGCCAAGGGTCAAGTCCCCGAATATGTTTTCCCAGGATGCTGACCTGAGTTCTAGGCCCACTTGGTCTGTGGGGGTTAGGGAGGAATTTGAGGGAGAATATGTTGAAAAACAAAATTTATCTGAGTAAATACTACAGATCTTATTAACTTTATTTAGTGATTCACTAATCAGGCAGCGTCTTGGCAGACAGAAAGGAGCTCCAACAACGAAAGTCTTTTACAAGGAGAAGGAAGGGGGCGCTGTTTCTTTCAGAGTGTATAGTTTCAGGCAAGGTTACTTTTTAAGGGGGTAAGGCAGGGGTCCTGCAGGAGAGTTGCCTCATTAGTGCCGACCAGGTAGTTCCAGGCTGGTGGGTTAAAGGTTAAACTCCTGGAGGGGCTGAAACTGCAATTCAGGAAGCTGTAAGCACAGCTTACAACTTGTTTGTATTTAGCACAAGAGATTCCATTTTGGGTCTGTGGTCTCTTTTTTAACAATAGAAGCTTCCATCCAGGGAGCATCACAAGGAAGCAAAGCCTGTGTTGGTCAGGAAAGCCTGTTTCAGCTCCCTCCATCCTAGCCAGACTTTCCACACTCCCCTCTGCCCAAAATAGCCTTGGGCCAAAAGCAGCCCAATGGTGTGGGGAGGTGGACCAGGAGGGGGTGCAAGAGAAACTAAATCAATGGAGTCAAGGTTCTGAGTGGGCAGAGATCAAAGGTCTAAATTTGAAAATCTGCCCCAGGACAGAGAGAAAAAACACAATGAGCTCAAGGTGACCAAGGAAACAGTGGGGCTTGATGTTCTCATTCTTGTGCTTGTTACTCCTTCCTCCTTTCGGCCTGCCACTCATTAACTACGTCCTCACAGGAGAGGTCTGGTCAAGCATTTTACCTCCTAAATATATTTTTTTGAAGGTTTATTTATGCATACAAGAACCGGGGTACAGGCCAGATACGCAGGAGGGTGAGAGGATTCACCAGAGACAGAGCAGGGAACAGAACAAGCAGACTGACTGAAATACATCACTGAGGGGAGCAGTGGGCGAGATGGGAGAGGTCTGCCGTGCCATGTGGGTATCTCCCCAGCCAGCCAGGATCAAACCCGTGCTGCAGAGGCTGAGGACAGCTTCACAACGCTGCGCCCAACTGCCTGCCCCACCAGGGAGGCCTCTTCCCAAATATTTTTTACATTTTCCCCCAATTGTCACCCTGATTCCAGCCCTCTTTGTCTGTGGCTAAGCATTGCTGTTGCCTTGCCCAGTGTCCCCACAGCCCATCCACCGCCTGCCACACCAGGCTTTCCAAAACGCAAACCTGATAAAAGCTTCCTGGCCATCCAGCCCCTTCCTTCAACAGCTCCTCACTCTGGCACCCACAGAATCAAGTCAGAGTTCCCAAGCACAGCACATATGACACCTCCATGTCCTGCCACCAATTCCCAGCAACAGGGCCCCAGCACACATACACACACACACTTACTCACACACACAAGGAAATAGGACCTCAATGCTGATACATGCATACATACACAAAGAGCAACAGGACCTCAACAGAGATACGAACACACAAGCACCGCAACAGTGCCCCCAACACATACACACACACATACACATACAAATACACAACTTGGCCTCAACACAGATAAACACACACACACATACATACAACAGGGCTCCAACCCAGATACACACACGCACACACATAGACCAACCAGTGTCACACACACACAGTTGTGGACATACACAACAGTGTCCCAACACTGTTGCAGAAAAATTCTAGCCTTTTACCCAGGCAGGGGAAGAACAGGTACTTCAGGAATGATGAGGTCAGGTAAGCTTTATTACTCATGCATGAGGTTCCAGACCTGGGTAGTCCCGTAAGATCTGAGCACCAGTCTAGGGACAAAGGGTTTCTTTTATACATAACCATCTTACTTTGATAACAGCGGTCAGTAAGCACAAAAGTTGGTGACAAAAGATAGATATTTAAGGATGCCCTGGGAGATCAGTCAGCCTGGTGGCTGTCTGGCCTTGTTAAAATGTAACCTCCTTTAGGTAATCTCATCTAGATAGGTTTTAGACAAGCAAAACTTGTTGTTTACATTCATTATTTACTGCACCAGACCTGTGACTCTTTTAGCAGGAAACAGGAAAGATTTCATTTGATTAGTGGTTCCCTTTCAATACCACACATACTCACAAACACCCACCCCTCCCCCCACACACACACAGACATACACTCACACATAGCAAAAGGGTTTCTATACCACATACATACACAGAGACTCACACATTGTCAGCAACATTGCCCCAACACACACACACACACACCCTCATTCACGCCATCCTATGCCACTTTCTACCTTATAATCAATACTCCAGAAACAGACTTCCCTCCAGATCACCCATCACTGGACAGGTAACTCTGGGTGTTTGCTCAGGCTTTTCTCTATCTAGATGATCCTCCTATTTGTCCACCTAAATCCTATTTGTTCATCCTGTAAAACCTCAGCAAGGTCAGCTTCCCAAGGAACCAATCTAGGATCCTCCCTGGCCTTTACCCTTAGACTGGGTCACATGCATTGTGTGTGCCTGCCTCCATAGCGATTGTCACAGAAGAATTGTGTTTCTCTTGCTTTTCCTTGGGGGAAAAAGTCCTATCTTACTAACCTTGCACTCTTCTGCCAGCACAGCCCATGACATGGTGCAGGAACCTAATGTAAGCTTTATGACTGTATATTTGTGTAGAGAGAGCCAGACAAGCATGGTCCTTGTCCCAACAACTTGTGAGTTATCCCCACAAATATAAAGCATGATAAGACAGATATGACCTGGGCTTGGAGGTAGAACACATACCGTAGTGTTTTCTCAGTGTTGGGACTCAGAGGAATCATCTCCCATACTTGGGGTTCTTCTAGGCTGGCAAATAATCAAAACCAGCATCAGACAGATAGAAAGAGAAAATGCCAAAAAGAAGTTTCATAATAACAAGCACGCCACCTGTATGCAGAGGAGAGACCCCGGATGGCCAAGCAACACACATGGTTTCAGATGCCATCTTACATAAGTTGAGCTAGGACAAAGGATCTGGGGAAGTGAGAGGAGGTTCGGATAGGGGGTTTACTGGGGAAGGTACAGCAAAGGTGTGCAGATTTACTTCTGCCTTTTCCAGTGAAAAGAGCTAGGAGATTAGGTCTTCCTGGGCTAGAGAGGGAGCTGTGTGTAAGGGAGAGGTTTCTCCTTAATACATAGAAATATCTCACAAGAACCCCACCCAGTCCTGGGAGGTGAAATCAAGCTTTAGCCAAAAAGAGATATTTTGAGGTAGCAGGTATTTGCTCCCCTCCACCAGCAACTGGAAAAGAAGAAAACAATATGAGCTGATATTGCTAAGAGTGCCTGGAGGGACAAGGACAAAGGAGTGTCTAGACAAGGAACTGGTTCTTTCTGACCCAGTGGGTTGCACCTTATTCCAGGCCTGTCACCCACATCCTACCCTCCTGTACCCTCAAAAGATGGCTTTCTTTGAGCAAAGCCTTTCTCAGTCTGGCAGCATCCTGTGACTCATTCTTTTCCGGAAATGCAACTGGCCTCGAGCATTGAATCATCCAGGTCCCTCTTGAGGGCACCCACACCCACCCTCACTCTTGGCATTGGAGTCAAGTTGCAAACCCACAGCTAGCTGAACCCAAAGGATGCAGGGGCTGGTGGGGTGGGAAGAATTCTGCTATATCCAGCAGTCCCAACATGCACTTTCACCTGCCCGGGAGTCGATGGCCTCAAGCCTTCTTAGTATTGTTTGATGCAGAAATAGTTCTTGTGGAAATGCCTGGAATATGGCACAGATGAGTGTGAGAGAAGGCAGGGATAGACGGCTCGACAGGTCCATTCCCAGAAAGCCTCTTGATCAGTCTCTAGGCTCTTAGTTCCCCTCATCCTCTGTTCCCTCTCCCCTTTCTCTCTCCCTCCCTCCCTCCACAATCTGTTTCCACAAACCTCCCTAGGTCCCCAGGGTGTTAAAAGGATGAATTACCTCCTTGATCTCCACGTGATGGCCCCTGTCCAAGCACCCCTCACCTGCTGGGTACATAATTGAAGTGTGGTCTCTGAGTCTGCAGCTGTCACGCAGGAACTGATAGAGAGATCAGGGCCCCATGCAAACCTGGCTCCCCTCATCCCCCTGAGCACAGGCAAATGCAATTTTCCACACCCTGCACAGGGGAAGGCTGCACAAGGTTCCGAGACACTGAAACGCCCTTCTACTAGAAGTACAAATTGGCACAGATGCCTCCAAATCCGCTCTCAGCTGCCCCTCATCCTCCACCCCTGCTACTGCTCAGAAGATTCTGGAAGGGTGACAAGCAGATCAGGCTCATTCCCCAGTTGGTGGGAAACCCTCTGCAGAATGAGCACTGGTCTGGCCTGTACCTCAATTTCCCTACCCCCACTATGTTGGAGTTACTCTGGCACAAATACATAAACAAGCAAATTAACAGAAATAATGAAGGACTCCCCCAAACCATGAGTATTGGGCCTGGTTCATTTTCCCTGCCTCCACCTTCTTCTCTCCTAGAGATTGTCCTGGCCCTCCCCTCTCAACCTCACCACCCTCTGCCCAGGTCCTGAACCCATCCCCTCTGAGACAGAAAGCACACAACTCTCCTGTCTCTTCCCCATGATAAAGTTTTCCACTTAGGCCTCTTCTCCCAAATCCAAATGGATACGAATCGGGGGTGGTCCCCTGGCTTCCTTCAGTCCCAGAGTCTGCCTGGAACCCCAGCAGCCAGCCCAGCCACACTGTCATCCACAGCAGCTCCACCTGGGTGGCCAGGACCTCACCTTGAACAGCAATGGCATGTGGATTCACCCTCTCTCTAGCAGGGCATGCTCTATCAAGGTAATCCTCATGCCTGGCACAGCCCTGCTCCTCCTGCCTGTCATGTCATCACATCATAGTATGTCTGTGCTTTCCCTATGACGGACAAGCCTTCACACTAACTTCAGTAACGAAATGTATCATAGATTCACTCACTCGGGCCTCCCTGGTGGCACAAGGGGTGAAGCACCGCACTATGAAGCAATCCGCAGCCTCTGCAGCACAAGTTCGATCCCTGGCCAGGGAGCTGCCCACATGGCGCAGCAGACCTCTCCTGTCTCACCCGCTGTTTCCCCTCAGCAGTGTGTTTCGGTCAGTCTGCCTGTTCTGTTCCCCACTCTGTCTCTGGTGAGTCCTCTCACCCCCTGCACCTTTGGTCTGTACCCCAGCTCTTGTATGCATACATAAATAAATCTTTAAAAAAAAGATTCACTGACTGGAGAGAGCCTTTCTTAAGTTGTTGTGTTAGTTTCTGGGGGCTGACAAAACAAAATAGCACAGACCAGTTGACCTAAACAATACATAGTGATTTTCTCACCATTCTGGAGGCTGGAAGTTCAAGATCAGGGTGCCTGTGGGGCTGAGTATCTCAGCTCCTCTCCTTGGCTCGCAGATGGTCGGTCACCTTCTTACCGTGTCCTCACATGGCCTGTCCTCACGTAGCCTGTCCTCACGTGTGTCTGTCTTCTCACAGGGACACCAGTCGCAGTGGGAGGATGAAGACCTCAACATGTGAATCTTGGAGGGTCACAGCTGAGTCCCTAGGAGTCTCGTAAAGCACCTGTTACAGGGCAATTATATAGAAAATTAATTTTATCTTTCCGATAATAAAAATCTGCTTTGCTAATATCAAATTGACAGCCTACTGTTCTGTTTCCTTGCCTTATACAGAAGTTTTTTGCTTTAGTGCCAAATCAGGCTGTCATCTTTTTGGAGACATTTTAACTATTAGCCCAAAAAGTGTACAGGTATCACGCACCTAGTCCGATTGAAGAGACAAGAGTTGAATAACCATGACGAAGCCTATGGTTGCTCAATGAACACAGCGCCACAACACTGCCAGCCCACACCGCTGCAAGCCAGTATTAATAGTAACACATACCCCAGTTTCAGAAGTGTTAAATGTGGACTAAAGCATGTTTGTGTTAGGTGAGATACGGTGAGACAAATTTAATGAGGACATCCATAAAGTTCTTGTATAGCTTCAGATTTTAATCAATTCACTTCTATATGATATATGAACAACTTGCAAAATGCAACAGAGAACAAATTCACTCAAGAATTCAGTGAAATTTTTAATGATTCATTTGTTCTAATTTCTTTCCTTAATTTTCTAGGTAATAAACCCTACCCTATATGGAATGGTTATAGCCATATATATCAAAAATGATGTTGGATGTGTCAAAAACCAACATTTCTGTAATTAAATATAGTAAATGATGATTAAATTCCCTCTCTGTTTCATTTTGCAGATTGTTTATATCATATGTAGAGTGAATTTATTAAAATGCCAAACTGCATAGGACTTTGGGGCCAACCATATAAAATCAGGGGACTTTGACAGAGGGTTTTGATGATGCATGGAGACACCCTGTATTTCTCACCCTGACCTGGAGGTGAGTTGGTTGTCAAGAGGGGAGGAGAGGGCTTATGCCAGGAGGAGGAGAAGGCCTGGGCTGGAGAGAGCAACTTAGAAAGCAGCTGATAGACTCGGAGCTGAGGGTGGAGATGCAGGCAGAGGCTGGAGCAGTCACCGGCTGGCTCACATGCACACATACACCAAGGGTTAAGGAGGTCTCCTATTGCGTCATTTTTATACAATAGCAAAAGGTGAGAACTAATCTCAATTCTTTTTTTTTTTTTACGATTTATTTATTTATACAAGCACTGGGTACAGTCAGAAGCGCAGGCGGGTGAGAGAATTCACCAGAGCCAGAACAGGGAACAGAACAGGCAGACTTGATGAAATACACTGCTGAGGGGAGCAGCGGGGGCAGGAGAGGTCTGCGCGCCATATGGGACCCTCGCCCGGTGTCTGGGGATCGAACCAGTGCTGCAGAGGCTGCAGGCAGCTTTGCAACCCAGCGCTCAACCACTGAGCCACTGGGGAGGCCCTAATCTCAATTTTTAATCAATGGGAGGTGGTTAAATAAAGTGGGGTCCACCCAAACAAGACTTTCTAGAGATTTGAAAAAAAAAAAAAAAAGACTGCTGCATTTTTTTATCTGTTGGTCAGTAGTGATCTCCAAGATATAATAAGTGCTAGATGCAAACAATGAGGACAATATGATATACTTGTGTTAGAAAAAGAAAAATTAATTTACACTTGCTTATAGGTGCTAGACAATTTCTGGGAGGAGACACAAGTCACTGAAAATGTTGGTTATCTCCAAAAAGGGGCATGAGGTGGCTGAGGCTAAGAAGAATCACAATGGTCTGCCCTCTGGAAAATTTTAAATCCTAAAAATACAGTTGTGGTGTCTACTAAGGAGAAGGAGGCAGCAGGGTAGAAGAGGAGCAAGATAAGAGAAAGGGGAGGAGGAGGGAATTTAGTGTTGAATTGAGTTCAATTTAGTGGATCCAACTAGTCTTTAAAAATAAAAAGAACAGAACTTTTTTTTTTTTAGATTTATTTATTTATTTATTTATTTATTTATTTATTTATTTATTTATTTATACAAGCACTGGGTACAGTCAGAAGCGCTGGAGGGTGAGAGAATTCACCAGAGCCAGAGCGGGGAGCAGAGCAGGCAGAAGGACCGAAGTACACTGCTGAGGGGAGCAGCGGGAGGCAGGAGAGGTCTGCGCGCCATGCGGGACCCTCCTCTGGTGGCCGGGGAGCAGCCGGGGATTGAACCGGCGCTGCAGAGGCCGCGGGCAGCTTCGCAACCCAGCGCTCAACCGCTGCGCCACTGGGGAGGCCCAAGAACAGAACTTTTTTTAAAAATTCAGAATGCTTTGTGAAATTTTAAAATTTCAAATATGTATGTGCACGGTGGGTCCTGAGGCAAATATATTTCTGACGGTGGGTTGCAGTCCAAGTATCTGAAAATTGGTGGTGGAGCAGAGTAAAAGGGACAGGACTCTGGGGTCAACCAAAGCCACCTCTGCAACTTCTGATCTCCCAGAGTCCCTCGCCCTCCTCTCGTGGCGTGGCCAGAAGCTGCATCCCAGATTACTGCAAGGAGACTGGTGCCGTGGCCACGTCCGACCACTGTCATTCGAGAACATTACTGTCACGGCCTAGAAAGGAAATACTCCCTGCATCTTGCCAACCCTCCCGGGTCTTGCCAACCCTCCCCGACCCACCGCAGACCAGACATGGTTTGATCTGGCTGAGATGAGAGTGTGGAGGCCTGTGTCTCAAGGACAGAGGAGGAAGAGCTGGTGGAAGCTGGTCCGAGCCTGCAATCTGGTTACTGCCAGTCATGCCAGCAGAGTTCAGCTTCCATCTGGCAATGCTGCTAGGGTGTGAGAAGCTCACATACGGGTCACCGAGTGAAGGGTACATGGGAACTTCTCTGTAAATCTGCAATTATTCCAAATAAAATAAAATAGAAGTCCAGTCTCTATTACCACCAAGCAGTGTGTTTTAAGTTCACTCAGTCCTGTGTGGCTGGTGGTAAACATGACAAGAACATGCCTTGAGCATGAGGCCTGAGTCTGGCCTAGAAGTGAATTGCGCATGAGGGATGGAGGCCATTGCTACGGTGATTTAATCTGGCTACTAGTTATGAGCAACTGAGCCAAGACCTGAATTTTAGACACATCTGTGCAGTTACAGACTTCCAAACCCATGATATGATAATAGTTTATACATATAATGTATATTTTTATATATGTGTGTATACGCAGATGTTTGTATGGGTGTGTGTGTAACACAGAGTTGGCAAAAGAAAGCTTGATTCTAAGATCTGTGTGATAGGAGTTAGCCTGGCAAAACAAATGAATGTGTTGGTTTTCAATATGTTGATACTTAGCATATCACCCATTGGAGTAATGTTCTTCTATTATAGCTATAAAAACAGTTTCTGAATAAAATTCAGATTGCTTCTGCAGAGAGAGACGTGGGCCCCATAAATAGTCAGAGGATGGGGGGCCCAAACTGTGATTTTGGGGCTGTAGATCCTGACAGTCTTCTCCAAGGTCACCCAGCAGGTTAGAATGAGGATCCAGACCTCCTGGAGGCCTGTCCTGGACTCTTGGTGTCACAGAGAGGTCAAGGAGAAGGCCCCAAGAAGGGAGCTCAAGTCCACAGGGCCTGGAGTGTGATTCTGGAAGAGCCCAGTGGGCAGCTCTGAAGGGGAGCTTCAGCAGACAGCTCCTGAGGAGGTGATGGCAGCCGCAGGTGGGCATGGGCTGGCAACAGCCGGCTGAGGCCCTGGGGAGGGCAACCTGCCAGGGAGGGCAGGAGGAGAGCTCCAGCCTGCCCGGAACAAGGGAGCGAGGTGCCGACTACTCCCTGGCTGAGTCTGGTTACAGATTGAGTTAGCCGCTGGCATTAACGCAGCCATGAGAAAAGGGCAAACACCAATGGCCTGATTTTCAGGGAAATAAGAGGCTGCGGGAAGAGGGCCCTGGCGCCAGAAGAGGGTAATCAAGCTTGGACATGGGAGCAAACATACTCCACATTCTATAAAAAGTTGAATAATTCCTTGACAAATATTCTAATTGATCTGAACAAATCCTCTGCAAGAAATACACATGGTGTGTAAAACACAGAGGCACTCAAAATCCACATCCACCTAATTTTGAGTCATTTAGTACCGTGGCCCCCAAGTCTCTCCTGGCAGATCAATTTGCAATTCCTCAGAGTGTCCTGCTGGAAGCATCCAGTCGAATGGAGAGACAGACCAACAGACTGACTGAGGTGGAGGGAGCAGGCAGGGGCTTCAAGTTCCTGGCCCTGGGAGCCTGGCCGGGTGCATCTGCTGCTTCACAGTTCGGGGATATCAGTTGAGCCTTGCCAATTGCCAGAAATCTGATCTTTTGAAGAAGGTGATCATTTCTGGTTCTATTTCGCAGCCCATCACTTCCCTGTGTAAAACTTCCCAGGGGTTCCTATTCAATTAAAATCAAATCCAAACTCCAGACTGAGATCTGCAAGTCCCCAAAGGACCTCATCTTTTTCTCAAAATTAAATTTTATTGATGGGCCATATGTTCCAGCAGTTCCACCTGGAGGTATTTGTCCAAATAATATGAAAACACTGATGGGACAAGGTATGTGCACCCCTGTGAGGACAGCAGCACTCTTCACGATCACCAAACAGGGAATCTATTTCAATGCCCCTCGGCAGATGGTAGGTGATAAAGAAGTTGTGGTACACATATTCAATGGAACACTACTCAGCTATTGAAGAAAGTAAACAATGATTTTGTGACAAAGCAGATGAACTTGAGATTATATTAAGCAAGATAAGTCACAAAGTGGGAGCATTGTCGATGATCTCATTCATTGGTGGAATACCCTTATCTTACACTGCTTCCTCCTCTATTCCCAGCTTCCCAGGTCTTCTCCACATCCCTCAATTAGCACCTCTTCATCAGCTGGTCCAGGACTAGAATATGAACTTCCAGATCTTCCATGACTGGTCCTGCCTGCCATTCATACTTCCTCAGAGCACAACGTAGTTGTCATTTCTAGGTAAGCACCATATTAAGATCTTTATTGGTGTGTCTGCCTCCCATCATTAGGTCAGCAACTTCTCCATCTTGTCCAGGACTGTACCTCCAGCACCTCAAACAGTTGTCTGACACATAGTAGGTGCTCAATAAATTA